AATTGATATCTATTTTGGTTTTTGATTTATAAACTTTTAAAAATTATGTATTTTATATGTTGATTTAAGGATTCCTGTACTGTAGAATATTTTAAATTTAAATCTACAAATTTTTGTATTACAGAATAACCTACCAAATATATAATAAATAGAAATAGTAGAATACAAATTTCTAATATTCTATAAATATCTCAGAGAAGATTTAGAAAACTTTCTTAGAAATTTTTAAAAATATGTAATAGCTAGTTAAATAAATATAGCTCTCAAAACAGGCCAGGTAGCTAGATAAGAAAAGGCTTTAGATTTATTAATATTATATCTTGAAAGTAATACTAAAAGATAATATAAAACTTACAATCATAGTAAAAATTAGAAATATAATAATCTAAATATAGCTAATTTAATTGCTATTTATAAAATAAGTACTAGGAATAGAGATAATCAAATTGGTGGTTTAAAAACTGCTAGAAAGTTTCATAGTATATGTGCTACAGAAATTGGCAAAATTGGGGCAAAAGTTGCTACTAGTGCTAATATTATTCTAAATAGAATATAAAATAAAAACTAGTCTATAACTGGTAGTAAATCTACAAATAATACAGTAGTAGTTTTGAATATAGCTAGTGGTTTTTTACTATTACAATTGCTTCTAGAATCAAACTTGATTAGCTTATTTTCTTAATTAGAACTGCCTATACAATTTTTAAACACTTAAACCAGATAACAGTTTTTGATTAACTTATACAAGAAAATATAAGTATTGAAAGTTCTCTGCTAAAATTAAAAAAGTTAGTAAAATAGCTAAAATAGCTTTTAAACAACAAAAAAAAGCAATTAATTTGTGGCTTAAATCCTATAAATTAGTATAATATTTGAATAATAGCTAAGTTTAATAATATACAGGATAATATTATAGAAGTCTTAGCCAAAGCAAAAAGATTTATATTATCTTAAAAGATTATATTAACCTCTTTTCTAATTTTTTTTATAGCCAACCCTTATACAGATACTAACAAATTAGAAGTAACTAAAACTGAATTTGAAGAGTTAATAAGAAAATACAATAATATTTTCATAGTTTTAAATAGCTTAACAAAATGCTAATTTATAGTTTACTATTAAATTCTTGCAAGAAACTATGTTTTGAGTAATCAAAAATTTAAATAATAGTAAAAAATTAGCTAATAAGAGAGTAAAAGATACTAACTAATATTATATATTTTTTGAGTGATTTACTGAGAAAAAAAATATATATACACCTTGCTGATAAATATAACTATGATCCTGTAGATGATATTTCAAATAGTTTAGCAAAATTAATATTAAATAATATATATCATTCTAGTTATATTAATATTTTTGAGTTATTAGTAAAAAAATTCAAAATATTAATATAGTGAGTTATATTGATATTTTATATTAAATTTTTTAAAAAAATTGTTAGTATAGACAAATTTTACTATGATGTTATTATATCAAGATATTGGTATAATCAGAGTAATATATATTATAAATACTGTTATCAAATATGCTATTAAGAAATTCTTTTCAGATTACAAATATTCTAAGTGTAAAGGATTTGAACATAATTTTTAAAACTGCTCTTAAAAAAAGAAAAAAAAAGCAAGAAGTCTAGAAAGAGTAAGGTTAATCTAGCCACTATAGATTTAGACTCAGATTCAGATTCTACTACTAATATATTATCTAGTAATAGTTTTAATTTTAATACAAGTTTAGAGAATTTTTTTTAATTTTGAAGGTGATATTATCATTAATATAGCTAAGTCAAAAAAAAATAAAGTAAAACTCTAACTTCAAGAAATTATCTCTTAAAAAGATATCTAAAACCTTATTGAAGAAAACTATTTATAAAATTTTCTAAAGTAAACTTAAATTAATTTTTCTTGTACAATTTTTTCAAGATTCTAGTTTTATTGTATCTCAAATAAATAGTTTATATAGAAAAAAAAAAAAGTTTCCAAATAGTATTCTATCATCTTCTAAAGATTTAATTTTAGATAAATCTAGTCTAGAGAAAGAATCTTTAGATAATCTTATAAAAATTTATTTTATTTAAAAAAAGAAGCTAAAAACAAGTATTGCAACTATAAAGTATAAAATTAAGCATTTAAAGATTCTACTATAATAGTCAGCTCTAGAGCTAAGTCTCTTATTATAACAAAAAATATTATTAATTATGTAGAAGCTAAAATTGATAAATCTGAAACATATGATCTTAGTAGTATTGCTATATTGAGATTATTTACAAATTATCTATTATTCTAGTTCCAGATTGTACTATTTATAAAGATTTTATTGTTATAAGATATTATAAACCAAAGTTAATATTTTTTAATTAGCTTTTAAAGAAATACAATCACATAATAGATTTGAAAACCAATGAGCTAAAGATTCCTTTTAATAGGAAAGACTATATTATCTCAATTACTATATATAAAGTTAGAAACAAACTTGAGATAAATTGTATAAATATTGTACTACAAAGTGAAAAGTCTATATCTTCAAACTATATTTTGCAAAACTTACAATACTTAGTAGATAAGGATGATGATATATTAAAAAAATATATATAAGCTATAAAAATATAACAATTTGTGTAAAAGAGCTTAAGAAGAAGTTTTCTGATACTCTAAAGCTTAATATAAAAATTAATAAACTTTGTGAAAATCTACAAAGAACTTAGAGAATAGACAAGTTATTTAAAGTTTCAAGAGGGATTACCTTTTCAAAAATATATTTAGCATTTGCCAAATTTTTTTTACTTTTTTTATTACCTTTTTATAAAGCATATTAATTTCTTCTTGATTTATATTTAAGCTTTTTGGACTTATTAGTATTGGTTGAATTAGTTTTGAAGAGACTATCTAAATGATAGATAGTTTAGGAATACGAATAGACTTGGATTTGAATTTTTCTTTTGGCTTAATGCTCCTTCTAGTTTTTAAGTGAATTGTTTTACTAGAGTTTGTTTACTTTAAAAATATATTTGCTAATATATATTCTACTTTGTTACAAGTGTTTATTATTGTTTTATATATTAATGATACAATTTTTATTTATATAGTAGTCTCTTACTATTATATATTCAAGAACTTTATTTTTAAGATATTTAATTTTTTCAATCTGCTTAGGTGTTAAAATATTAGCATCTTGTTAATAATAAGTTTTTAAAAATTAAATAGGTATTAATTTTTAATATTTTTTTAGCAATATTTTTAGAATAATAAAAAATAATAAAAATATTATTTATTATATTAGAACAGCAAAGAATAATAAAAAATAATGAATATTAATAGAAACTGATAAAAATAAATAAAATATAATATTTATTATTAGAAAATATTTGTTATTATATACGAGAAGATAGGCCAAATTATTGATTATAGTTTGGTAAAATTTTATTTGTATATTTTTTCTTGCTATATAACTATTTCAAGATTATGTCCAATATGTATATACTAAAAGATATCAATAAAAAGTGATATTGGCTTAGTAATGCATATAAACAAAAGCTCAAAAAAAAATTAAGATTTGTTATTGAATTTAACTCTAAAATTAATAATCTCAATGATAGGTTGTAGTTTGAAAATTTAGAATATCTAAAACAAAAAGAAGATTTTCAGCTAGTTGAAGCTAATGCTAGAAAAAAGATTGGCCAACTAAATATAGCTAATTCTAGGCTTAGATTTCAAATTACTTTTAAACAGATATTCTCAAAGCTAAATATTCTGCTAAAATAAAATTACTCAAATTTTCAATTAAATTATTAAAAAGAGATGTGATCTTAGTTCAGAAAGCTTTATCTCTTGATAAGATCAAGATTCTTTTTCCTTGAAGCGAAGACAGAAGCTAGAAAATTTAAAACAAAAATAAGTAAGTTTCTTACTACATAGATTTTAGAGTTTAAATATAATAAGTAGATTATAGAGGAGCTAGCCAAAATAAACTTATCTAAAATTTTTTTTTTTTTTAAGCCGAGATCTTGATCTTAATACTTTATTAAATTTTTAACATATATTAATCTATAAAGTATTACTACATGAATTATATAATTTAATTAATTGTATGTAAAACATAGAGCTATATTTTAACTATCTATATCTAATTTATCTTTGACCTAATTCTATTGAAAGTGATTACAAGATTAGCCTAATTTTTAATTCTTGAGTACCCACTCACAATTACCTTTTCGTAGTTGTCAAGACTCCTACTTGCAGTTGTGACTGAACTGTTAAGTCCATTATTTGATGTCTTAGATCTCTAATCTTGTGGTATAGGATTCTATTGAATCCACAGTTTCTAATATTTGCTCATTATCCTATTAAACCACTTTTGCTCTTGTAGAGGTTGCTATTTTTAGACCAGATATCCACTTCATATTTTTCTTTACAAATCAAGCTTTTGGTTTTGCCAAACTTCCAAACCAGTTGGCCTAGTAAAGTTGGCCTGCTCAGGCTTTAAGTGCTTTACAGTTTCTCTTTTCTTGGTATATACTTCCAGAGTATATATTCTTTTTCTCTAGTACAACTTTGGTGGCCAGGTTGGTAAAACTCTAAACCTATAAGAGTCTTGTTGTTCAAATCCTTTAAGTCTTTGATTAATCCAATTCTGTTCTGTGGTACTATCATATTCTCACTACTTTCTAAACTTAGATCTTGCCAAGCCAGTTTTAGTTTTTTTAGTTTTCTTTTAGTTTTATTTTAGTTTTAAGGACTTATCCTGGGTTTGCATTACCTAGACCAGTTTGCATTCCTTTATATAACATGAAAGCTTTAAAATCTTCTAGTATCTTAATGATAATAGTACAACTAGAGTTATAGGTAATTAACCCAACTAATTGATAAAGATTTGTTACTATAATACAAAGAATTTTATGCAAAACATTATTAGTAGGATTTGAACTCTATATCTTTGATTAATATAGCTTGGGAGTGTGACAACTTTACTACTTTACTATATCACTACATCCTAAACTTATCTAAAATTAATTCTCTTAGGCTTGAATCAGAACAGATAAAAGAAGATTTAAATTTAATAAAGCACAAAATAGAATATATAGAAAAGAAAAAAGAGGCAACAGATATCATATATAAACAGAAAATAAATAGATTATATTAAGCATAATTAAATTTGATAAAGAAAAATTCTCATTTCTAAGGTTTAGTATTAAAAAAAGATAATAAAATAGTTCCAAAAAAATTAGCTAAATATAAGCCTCTTTTTATAAATAATATAAAAAAAAAAAAAAACAGGTTCTAAAAAAACTACAACTTTTTGCTTTTAATTTTTTACTCTTCTAAATATTTTTTATAGATGGTGCAAAAGCTAAGCTTTTACCAACAACTGCTTCTATTATTGCAGACTAGTCATCTTGAAACTTCTTCTTGTTATCAATGATAATATATTTTATATTTTCTTTGTTACTAATTACAATTATATAGATCATGGTCAAATTACCTATTATACTCCAGATTCATTATAGTTCCTCAATATGCCTACTACTATCTATTCTCAACTTGATACAATTGACTTAGA